CCTCCCCCCCCGCCACGACTACCACACAGTCTTTGCACAGTGAATCTCTTTACAATCATCCACACATCGGCCCATCAGCGACCACCAAACGACGGTGGAGGGGCATCGTACGACGGCGGCGGAGCGTCCCAGGTTGGCGGCGGGCCGGCAGGAGGGCCGCCCGGGTGGTGGCCGGCGGGCGGCGGCTGGTGGAAGCCGCCGGGCGGGGCGTAGGCAGGCTGCTGGTACGCTGCCGGGTTGGCGACCTGGACGCCTGCGGCCTGCGACTGAAAGTGGCGCAAGATGTCGGCCTTTTCGGCCTCGCGGGCAAAGGCAAAGTCGTTGGCGCGAGTCTGCAGCGTGAGCAGGTGCTCCTGGATGCGCGTGTGGAAAGCGACTCCCTCTGTGGCGTGGGCCTTAATCTCCACAAAGTCGCGAAAGGCAGTGTCAAGGTTGGAAAGCAGCGACTCGCGCTCCTGCTGCTCGGGCGAGGACTCGCGCGAGGCCACAAACTGGGCGTTGAGCGCCTCAATACTGGCCATGAGCTGCGGCTGTGCTGCCAGCGACTCGGCCACCTGCGACTCAAACGGCACGTACTTGGCCAGCTCGCGCTCAAAGATCTCCTCGGCTGTCGAGACTGCCGACTCGGCGACGAGCGTTTGGGTCACGTCGTCACCCGCCGCCATTGCCCGCAGCTTGTCCTTGGTCGCGCCGCGCTCCTTAAGCAGCGTGTCGATCTCGATGAGTGCGCCCATGAGCGAGCGCACCACCTCGGAGGCCGCCAGCTCCGGGTCCGAAGACGCCGGAATGAGCGCACCGAGCTGCGACGAAGGCAGCTCGAGCGTCGACATAAACTCCTTGGAGCGATCATACTTGGCGTCGACCGTGGCGTCGGCCTCACGCGCCGAGTCGAGCGTCGCCGAGAACTTACCGACTTCCTCGCGGAGCTTGGCCGTGAGCGTCCGTGACGGCGTTCGGTTCCACCGCGCGCCGTAGTGCGCCCGCATGGCCGAGTCGTCTGCCTCCTCCTTGTCGAGAACCGCAAAGATGCTTTGCGGATGTCCGCGTTCATCGACGCCAGCATCCGCCGCGTCTCCAGCAACTGCGCAATAGCCGCCACCCCGCCCTCGGCCTTGAGCGTCGATGCCTTGGACGCCAGCGCCGGCGGAACGCCTGCCGGCGCATCCAGCGCCTCGATGGCCGCAGGCAGATTGAGCGACGCCAGCGTCGAGTTGGCCACATCCGACGCCTCGTCCATCTGCGTCGCCAGCGACCGCACCAGCGACTCGACGCGGTCCGAGTACATCGAGACTTGCGTGTAGATGTGGATCGGGACAAGCCGCGCAAAGAGGTCCGGCACGTCGACGTCGCCAACCTCGGGCAGCGGCAGTGCCTTCACCAGCGCCTTGCCTTTCACCGCAGGCAACCGGTTCGCCTCCGGAATGGCCTCACAGTAGATCTTGTCGTTGTCCGACTCGGCTTCGGCCAGCCGCGCCTCGATCCGCGCCTGCAGCCGCCTCACGAGGTCCGCAATGTCGGCCGGCACTCCGCGCACCAGCTTGGACATCGTCTTGGTCGCAACGTACGACTTGGCCTTGTACAAAAACGCAATCTCGACGCCGTACTCGCATTTGCCGCCCTGCGCCGCGCCCTGGTGGTAGCACGCCGCGCCGCGGAAGACCAGCATCCGCATCTGCAGGTGGTTCTTCCACGAGACATGAAACTGGCCATCGAGAACCGACGACGAAACCGCAGAGTGCGCCAGCTCGTAGAACTCGGCCGCACCTTGCGCCACCATCGACAGAATCGCGTCAGACTTGCCGTCCTTCACCGCCTTTTCGTACACCGCCTCCTGCGCCTGCGCGAGGAAGAGGTTCTCACCGAGCTTGAGCGCCTCGGGCGTAAACTCGGGCGAGACCGGCGTGTCCAGCTGCGACACGAGGTGCTCGCGGAGGTAAGCAAAGACGCCAGCCGCGGTCTGAAAGTGCGCAAAGGCCTTCTTGATCTCCTCAAGCTCCGTCCGGTTGCACGCCGCCCCCATCTGCCCATGCACCGCCGCGAAGTTGAACAGCACCGACGCCTGCTCCAGCGCCAGCGCGTTTGACGAGAACCGCGACGACCTAAACGGGTCGTACCACACAAACGTCACGTCGAGGTCTCCCGTCCCAAATGGAAACCGCGGGCCCATCAAGCACGTGTGCGCCCAGTACTTGATAATCTTCTCCGCACTCGCTTCCGACGCGTCTGCCGTCCGCACCGACTCGCGCAGCGCCTGTAGAATGGTGTAACCCTCCACAAACTCCTGTTCTCCCTCCCCCCCACCCCCAGCAACACCAAACCAATCCCCAACAACCTACCATGAGTACTCGCTCCCCACAATGCTCATCCCCCCCCTCCTCCCGCCCACCACACATCCCATGGAGCCGGCGTTCCGGCCATCGAACGACCCGACCGCACGTGCGACCGAGAGCCACACCCACCCGGGTGCAGGCATAGGCAAGTAACATACATCGGGAGAGACTGTGTCATGGTGTGCGGCAATATACTCCCGCAATGGCTTTCCCATTTCAACCTTGTCCGTCCGCTTGAGGTCGAACGCAAGCATGGTAGGTGCCGAGGCCATGGTGACGGTGTGTCGTCGACGGGTGTGTGTGTGTGACGGCCAACGCCGAACAGCCACCGTCACAGCCCCCCTCCACCCCCCCCCCCCCCCCCCCACCCCCTGCCACCACAACCGTCCAAGCCAATCATTATTAATACAACAAAAACCTGAACCCCCCCCCCTCCCCTCCCCCCGGGCCACCACTGCCTTTCATTCAGTTTCAGTTCAAGCAATAACCATCATCATATTGCTTCACTGGTGCATCACCACACCTTCTCCCTCCACCACCCTCCCCTCCCCGCCACCTCCTCCCCTCGTCCCGACCACTACGCCTACCTCCCCACTTGCTCCCGTCACTACACTTCTCCACGGCCATGGGGTGCTGCAACTCCAAGGCCAAGGTCAAACCCTATGAAGGTACACCTTCCCCTCCCCTCATCCCCTCTACACATATACCCTCAACCCCCCCCCCCCC